ATCAAGAAAATATCCCAACCCAGTGCTGCCCACGCCCACAAGTCCAACATTAACCCATATGTCCAACACCAGTCCACAAAGTCCTCCTCCATCTCACAAAACAGACATGATAATGCCGACTGCAGGAGGAAAGCCGAGTCAGTGAATGTGTAATCATCTCAGTGCTGGCAGGGGTCTCCACGCGACTGCTCCAGCACCCAGGGCTGCATCGGGGTAGGTCCATGTGGCTTCTCCTCAGGGATGTCTTGCAGGAAGTGAACCTTGCCCGCTGAAGCAGGGAACTGCCTAAGGCAGCTGCACCCTGGTCTGACCATCACATAGCAAGAGACCTGAGAATTAAAAAGGCGAGGCTCACCACCCATTTATCCCTCCACCCTTCAATTAAGCCCATGTGTGTTTATTGGCCAGGTTGGCACAATGAACGAACTACCTCACCCAGCCTCTGGCAGAGCATGACCCCTGCCTGAGCGCCTATCACAGTGCCTGTCATAATGCCTGTCACACTGAGCACCATGACTCAGGGCCCCCGCCCCCGCCCCCCAAAGTGAGTCACACACCTGCAATCGGCCTGCCCCCTGAGCTTTTTCCTGGAGCCCCAGACAGTGAGGGTGCTCTCTGACACCCACTTGCAGCCACACTCAAAGCCCCCCACCCTTGCCCTTGCTTCCCCACTAGTGGTCCCTGCACATTTGAGCAGGGGTGGGGGTGGGGAGGCATATCCACCACACACCCTGCTTCTCGGGGGAGAGCTCTTTCGACTCCTGACAAGGCTGTCAGGTACGGGTGCTCGTTTGCTGCCTCAGAACAAACCTTGGAGGGGCTGGCACATACTAATTTAGCCTGCCAGGAAGCCAAGGGGTGTTGGTTCCGGCTTGCTCCCTCCCCATCATCCCTTGCCCCCACCAGTTTCAGCAGCGGCTGCTACAGTGTCCTTTCCCCTCCCTCAGAGCCCTACCACGTAGGGTACGTGACTCACAGCGAGCAACAGGGACGGAGCGTGTAGTCACCCCCACACCTGCTTAGGGGGAGGGAGGGGGCACGCATGGCTCATCCTGCCACAGCACAGAGGGCACCCAGGGGCCACCAGGAAACTGGGGCACAACCAGCAGTCACTGCATTTAGGGCCCAGTGTGCCAGATGGTGACCTCTGGGTAGGGCAGTCCATTAACATGCTCGGCCGCTAACAGATAGAGGTAGAGGCTGAGTCCACACGGAGAAAGGCCTGCCAATCCCTCTAGGCTCCTCTGACATGTCTGGGGTCCCTGTGAGTCAGAATCCACTCAGCAGGGGTGGTTGGGCCTTCAGGGTGGAGGAATGATACCGGCCTCCAAGTGCCACAGTTGGCCAGGGACACAAGGGACATTTGGAGCTGGCAGGAAGGGCACGCTGTCAAAGGAGATGCTGCACCCAGCACCTGTCCCTAGGGCCCTGTGGCACATTAGGGCAGGAGATGCTCCCGGGGGTGGGGAGGGCCTGTTTGACAGACAGGTATTGACCTTGTGTGTTAGGCAGGGTTTGCTAGAGAAACGAAACCAGGACACTTATGATTTTAGATAGATGATAGATAGATAGATAGATAGATAGATAGATAGATAGATAGATAGAT